GCTTGATCCATGTGGCTAGACCCCCCGCATTCCAGCTCGATGAGCGCAGACACGCTCTTCATCGAAGATCATTATGCTCCTTCTCAACAGGGAAGGTGCGGACAGATCTCCGAGCCGATAGTGCCGATTGTGATTATCACGAGCAGGGAACGATCTCAAAACTTTCAGATCCTGTGGGAGGGGTTCGTGTTCCAGGATGTCGAATATGTTGCGCGTAATGTTCGGCTGCGACAACAGATTGCCTCCCTCGACCGTAGGTTAGGCCAAGGCTTGATTGACCATCAGACCATCACTAATCCATAACAGCCTAACGAGTTTTCACCGAAAACCTCGCTCCGATGCGAGAAGCTTCGATTTCTGGAATTACGGACTCTATAGATTCTCCGATGCATGAGTTTCTCGCCGGACGAAAACTTGGTCAGGAGTTTCCTTCAGCGGAGAGGAAACGATGGTGAGGATACTGAGGAGCGAAGTGGTTCACACCGTTCCTTTCATGTCCGAAGCGTTCTCCGTTTTTCTGTTGATGCTCAGCTACACCTCCTCCATCGGATTTGTTGCGCTTTTCGCGTTGCCGTGGTTCTCGCAAGCGGTCCATTCCTTGAATTATGCGTCGGCATTCCTCTGTCGCGGGGTCCTCTGCGAGTTAGGCTGGAGCATTATCGTCCTCAATCTCCGCATGGTCTTCAAGCGCGCCCACCTATCAGGCTGTCGCAGCCCCTGAATTAAATCAGAAAGCAGAACTACCGCCCGGCTCTATGATTCGAGAGATTTTCGTCGCCGATTGAAGATTTTTTATGGTATCACAAGGATTACTCGATCCGCAATCGGGACCCCCCAAGTGAAATGGACGCCCCAGGCAAAATGCGATGCCCCGAGAATGCAGCGCTCCGCCCGCGCCCCCCGATTCAATCCACGGGTCGAGAGGTCCTCACCCAGAAAACCTCTAATTACTTTTTGAGAGAACATCAAGAGCTCTCTAGCGCTAGAGGGCGGAGCTATACACCGGCACCCTTCGGTTTAAGAACTCTTGCGACCCTCCGTGCGCTCCATACGATTGTACAACGAGTTCGTGAAGCCTCGATTTTTAAGCTCCTTGAAAAGTTGAAGTCTAACGAAATGCTCTCGATACAGAGTGCTGCTAGTGTACTGTCGTTGCTTTCTTCAATAGCACAAAGTCCTGAACGTCGAGGTTTCCCCGGGAAGGATGCCCCACACCGAGCTCATCCTGATGGATCGCGTCGGGAAACCTCGAATCACAGCGAGGACTCAGATCATCTAACCGAGGAACGAAAGTCG